CATCCCAATTTCTAAATACACAGTTGAAAAATTTGTATTAAATTTAATATATTTCATATGTTTAATTTAATAAAAATTTTCATAAACAATCTACTCAAATTTTTATATAAATTTAACACAAAATGAATATGTTAGAAAGTAACACAAATATTATGTAAAAAAGTTACACAAAAAGGATAATACTGAAATAATTTATAAGCAAACTGTAGAAACATATTTTTTCAGTAAAAATTAATATTTATGATATGTTTTTCAAGCCTTATTCATTTATCTTAGAATTTATGTTTTAAAGCATATTATTTATGTTATTTATTCACTCATTCATAAATTGTGTTACTTTGACTAAGAAATATTGAATATCAATTTAACTCAAAATATTTAAACTTTATGTTATTTAAATATTAACACAATATTAATTAACATTATATTAAATCAAGATTCAACCGTGTTAAAAATTTAACACAAAATTTTAACAAAGATTTGAGATCGATCATTTTCAACACAGATACAAAATGTTTTTTACCGTGTAACAAGTTAACGTCATTTGTCTTCATTGTATCATTTTTCGTCAAAATAATGTCAGTTTAGTTTATCTGGCGAAAATTACAGATGTAGAATCGTACATTGTAAAGAAATTATTTTCGATTGCAATTAGGACATTTCGATGCGTATTCGGTAAAGAGAAAAGAGAGGCATGATGCAATAAGAGACGGACTCCTTGGCTCAACATACGTCGTCACACCTGACGTCACATACTCGTTAGGGGGGCAGATGGGCCCCCTCTCAAGCGTGACGTTGGCTTACGGGGTACCTGGCGGCGTCTATCTATAGGGCCTTCCCCTTACTCTTTGCTTCTTTCTTTCTCTCTCGCTCTTTTCGACATCCCATAAGGTGAGGCAAAATAAAATAAAACTTCCGAAGGGAGTTCCCTTCGCGCACACACGCGCAGCTGCTCAGGTAGCACGAGCTACTTCCACATTAGAGGACGGAACTGCCATGGGGTGTCCCATTGGTACCCCATAGAAATTCCGTCTGGCCAGACGCTCCCTCGGCACGTATACGCTATCGAGGGGGAGCGAGCAAGAAAAAAGAAAGAGGTTATCAAGGTGACGGAGCTGACGATCGATTTGTAGAGGTATTAGTATACGGAAACGATTCGCGCGTGCATATACAGGGAACGCGATCCCCGCACAGAGGGGAATGTACTTCCGAATGCCACTATGTATCCACATTTGTCACGCATCGGAAGGCATACACGCGCGCAATTATTTTCGAAGCGAAAAAAGAGTACGTGTTTCCATTATATTTTAGAAAATATTTGTAAATATGCATGAAATATAAATATATTTTGTATTCTCTAAATTATTTTATTCCTTAACATAATTTTGATGGATAAACTACTCTGTCGCTAGTAAAATAAGTTTACCATTGTTTCTTAATTAAAAGATCATTTTTTCAATAATTAAATGAAAAGTAGATTCCTTTTTTTTTTTAGTTGCTAAATTTTCTTCAAATATGCTTCTAAAAATTTTTTCCTATCAATCAAGTTCGTTCAAAAATCTTTTCACAGAAAATAACGATTTTAGACGCTTTACACGTAAAATATATTAAGCTATTGACATATATATAATTTAATCTTTATAGATTTTTTGTATGAACTTTGATTTCCTGCACAATATATCCATAGACGAGTAATTGGCGCAAGCGGAATGATCAATAGGGCCGTCGATGTGTCAGTAAAGATTTCTGGACAATCATAGGTGGACATCATTGTGTATTCTGATTTGATCTAAAGCTACCGAGCTGTCTTGTTAGCGTGACAAAAAGAAATAGCTAAAGAAATTTTCCTTTTCCTATGCCCCCCAACCGATCATCTTTACGAACTGTGAAGGGCCAACGGCAGCCTAATTACGACGAACACGCAGTAGAAAAGATTTACAAGGTAGCAAACGAGCGTGGTCACTAGCTTTGTACGCATGTATTTCTGCGCGAGAAGTGATCTCTCAAACGATCTCTAAACGTTCAATAACGAGGTCTCGATCGGGCGGGCCTTTTCATGCCTCGGTTAAAAGAGAAGGCAAGGCCGGACAGGCGATTTTTGTCGCCGCTCGTAAATCCGACTAATTCTCAGCACGAGACATCCGGTCCGGCTTGTCGGGAAGGCGTCGCGGGGGCGTTTCGTGTAGTAAACATAATGTCGAGCCTGTAAAACCTGTCCCCGTCCCCTTTACACGTTAGCATCCCTTCTTCTCGTTTCTTCGCAGCGCGTGCCAGACTGTGGCTCGGCGAATCGCAGCTTTTCCACCGACAACACCTGGGGATATCTTTCCCTCTTCGCAGCCTCTTCCTCTTCTAGAGTTACACGTTCTACTTTCATTATGTCTTTCGTGACGTTTGTTGTGTCACCCCATTGCATCAGTCATCAAAATAAATTCTTACGCACGTAAGAATCTTTACGATTATTTAACGTTTAAATTGTGAATCGACTATATTAAAAAAAAAAATAATTCCCCATTGTATATTTATAGATAAAGTAAATTAATTAACAATTTATTAAAAACATATTTTCTTTTTCTGTTGCGATTCGTGTTATTAAATTATCAATTAAAGCAAAAATGCACTTACGATAAAAGTAATTTTGATCAAAAGAATGAAAATACTAAATAAATAAGAATGAAAATGATCAAAGTGATTTCCTCGTTTGTGTGTTAAAAATTTCAGCTTCCGCGGCAACATAAAAATACTTTATGGCAAACGTATCGGTAAAAGTAGAATTTATGCGTTTTCTCAGAGCACACCAATGCACAGCATTATCCCTTGGCGTATCGCTATCCACCCACTCGAGTCGCCGCTCGTGCGCGCTTAAATCGTACGATCTCTCGGCACGAGGCACAATGAAAGAATAAAAAAAACTAGACGAACGAATAAAGTATTAGGGAGCGATCAGAGGGAAAAAAAAACGTAACTGTTGTCGATACCTGCGCTTCCCCTGACCGTCGTTAAGTGCGGAATTCTGTTCGCGGCAGATTGGTCGATCCTCTCAACGGTATCCGGCACCAATTTCGAGGCTCTCGTCTATAACGGAAGATTAAAAGTACTAATAACATACGCGAGCAGGAGAACCGTTCACGGACTGCGATCTACCGCTACACATCGTCTTTCGCCTCATGACGCACAATGACTTCCGAAACATATGTCGAACGACGTTCTTCCTTCATTCTCTCGACGCCGACCCGCATCGAGATGCGTTATTAACGTGCGTGAGGGGGTGGCGAGAACGCAGGAGCGAGAGAGTTTTGTCGATCGAGCGACCGCTTCTAAAGAAGGGAAAAACGTCGGGAACGAGGGAACGAGGCAGGAGGGGTGAGAAAATCCATTTTCACGTTCTAGACCGCCACCGGTTTATAAGACACGTGGGTGGAAGAAGGCGGGTAGAGCACATAAGTGGGGAATCAAGCCATCTGGTTTCAGGCTGCGGCCTATACTACTGTTTGAAAGGTATGCTCCGTCATGAGGGTTCTTTAAATCCACCAGAGATACACACCTTGAGACCTGTCCCGGCCAAGGACCCTCGACCGCTTGTCCCTTTAAATCGACACCGAAGCGAAGACATCGAGGCGCCTTTGCGTCCCTTCCGTCGCCAACCGAGGGTAATCGCCGGATGAATAGTATAACTTTTTTTCATTTCCGACTACACTCACGTGTATTCTTTCATTCAGCCTTAATTAAGCTCAAACTGGACGATCACATCTCAATTTGTACTATGTTCAATAGTCTTGATGCTATTTGAGATGGTTTATCTCAATGGCAAAAGTGATGCCATTGTATCTCATATATGGAACAATGTAATAAATTATATCTACTTAATTAATTTTTTTATAATATCATAAAATAAATGTTTAATGTGATAGCCCAATACAGTCACAGAAACAATTCATACTATCGTAAGCCAGACAATCCTTCCAGTACCTATCGATCATACGTGAACTGTAGAGTATTCGTGTTGTTTGCGTGGAAGATCAGAATAGTGTTGACAGTCGACCGACAAAGCCAAATTAATTTGCAAATCGCTATTCAAGCGGATCAGAGAACATTTCGGCTACTACGAGACGTCATGAGGAGACGGTCATACATCGAATGAAGAAGATGAGGTGAATGAAGTACATGAGAAGAATAATGAAAAAAAGATCGTCTTCGAGTATATATCAGAAGATTTAAAAAAAAAACTACAGTTTTAGATGATACCAATATCTCTAATTTGATCCCGTAATTCTCATTGTATCTTATTTACGACTTTTCTCTCTCCTTTTTTGTTATCTTATAGAGGGACTTTCTACAATAAGCTATTATCTAAGCCTTAAGTCTTAAGACTATTCTTCTCATATTTGACTGATCGATGGCCGGTCGATATCTTACATTTATGACTTAAAGCTTAATGGCTTATTGTAGAAAGCCTCTAACAGATAGAAATTCTTCAACAACCCACTATGGATCACTATTGCTTATCCACGGATGAACGAAGAGTGCATCGTAAAGCTTTCATTGTCAATCGTTTATAGTATACCGCCGTCATGCGAGCGCAATGACGCACGTGGAGCACGCGTAAAGGGTCGATTCATGGGGACGAGCTGACAGTGAGTCTCTTATTAGGGAAGGAGTCAGCAAGCATGATTATGTACCTTAGAGCGTCTCCGTCTCCCCCTTTAACCCCTTCTCCCTTCCATATTTGACATCCTTCTTTCTTTCTCCAATGACTCGACGCCCGGCGTCATCCTTGACGTCGCACGACGACGAAGCAGTCACTATGACGCGAAGCTGCATTGTCAACCCCCGACTGTGTTCATGTATGCATGCATTGGCGTAGAGCGACGAGGAATTGTCGATGGTACGATTACAATAGGCGATTGGCGATCCCACTTTGTTTTTCGTGCGAACGGGAAGTAAGTTTTCCGAGTCGCGAGGTTCTCACAAATTGAGTTAATATTCAATGGTATACTTACGTTGTACGTTGCCGTGGCGGTGCGAAAGGTGCCGTCCCCTGAAACAAAAAGAATAATTATATTAATTACATCTCCAAATATCTCAAAATATTTTTACATGTATTTTATTATTATAGTTATAATTTGTTATCATTTGTACTATTAAACCGCATATCGTTTTATCAGAATTTTTAATGGCTAATTTCGCCTATTTACCCTTCAAATTTTAATTTTTAATAATTCAAAAAATTAAAATATTTAGTGTTTTCATTTTTATCTTTTTTAATGTTCTCTAGTGGTTTTGTTGCTATTCATACGATTCTCGTGGCTAAAGTAATTTTATGGAAGAAGCTGTTATATGCTAAAAACTTTTAGAGACCACACACACATACACACACACACACACACACACACACCCACACACACACACATAACAAAACATTAACAAATTTGTAAAAGTGAAATTGCAGAGAACTAAGCCGTACTTCTCGAAATTTGCATATCTATCTCGCCAATGCCGCCCAAGGCGATATTGTCGTCACAATGAAACCCTCTCCAAAGCTCGCCACCATCCCCAACACAGTCGCACGGACTGTGCAACGCGCGCGTGTCGGCGACGAGCTTTTGCCTCGCGTCACACGTGCCAAAGTTCACGAATTTCGATCGCGCATAAATATCGAGGCGATATAAATATAGCGCTGCGTTCTCTACCGAGATTCCTCGCAATATACTCCACAACCAAAAATAAAGGCATTCCCTTGCGCAACGGGTTATTTAATCGGAAACACATAAAATTGAAAATGGAAAAGTATCCTTTGTATATTTACATTAATAAATTGCACAATTTGAAGCGTCTCTTTACAACTTTCATTTCTATTGATTTATTTTTAAAATGATATAGCTCGTATAATAAAATACCTATATGAAGAAATTAATTTGTGACATGCTTCAAATATCGATAACTTGACTTTATTATCCGAAACTCTAAGTATGATCACCTATACTTCCATTCACTGCATTGTTCCAACTGGAATGCACGGGGAAGGATCGAGGAAGTAGAAGTCAGGAGGACGAGAGCCAAGGAGATCGTAGGTGTGAGGTACTGTTCGAAGCTAGTATCTGAGACAGTTTCGGTCGGCAAGATTTAACAAATAGGTAAAGTTTCGTCGCGAGGATGTCGGAGTTTGCGGATTCTCCGGCGTAGCCTCGACATCCTCTCTCCTCTTTGTTCTCAAGTTTATGATGTATTAGCTGTTCCCTGTTGTGCCCGTACCTCTATCCATCTTCTAACGTTCCTTTCCTCCACCATCAACTACGTCTACTCTCTAGAGTTAGCCAATTTATGCAGCTCCGGGATTTAAGTTAGTAGAGTGAATTTAACTTGCAATATTAGAAATAATAGAAGAACTTCATTACAAAATCTTTTCTCAAAATGACAGAAATTGTATGATTAAAAAAAGATGAAAATTTTTATTACTTTAATTCTAGAGAATTTAAAGAGTTCTTAAAGAGAGCTTTTTGACATACACAGTAACAATTTTTAATATATTTTACCTGGGGGCCAGTAAAGAACAATATATTTTCATCTCCACGAATCGTCACCAAGTAGTCCATATTTTGAAAATTTCGGCCTGTCTTGCCGTGGCACGCAGACTCCACCGGGATTGCCGTCCCGGGATTAATAAACTTCGTCGCGTTTCGGCTTAGCCCGTGGCGTAACTCCGTGCGGAGAAAATCAATACCCGATACACATCCCAAAGGTCCGCTTATACTTGTCGCGCTATCTCGCTTTTATCTCGATCGTATCTCGCATATTGGCATACGCCTAGCGTCTACACGTACATCACGCCACGTTCACACGGACACGCGAACACGGGGAGGACACGCGTAACGCGCCCTGGCGAACATACGTATCGGCGCCGCCGCCCACACATCGTTTCCCACACCCTCTCACTCTTCGGGCTCTTCGGGGTGACAGATGGCTTTGTAGACAAAGAACTTAGCCGACTGGTTTTCGTGGACGTTGCGTAACCCGATAAAAGCAAACCCAAGTCGATCGTTTCGACATGGCGAAGTCGCCGCACTCTGAAGAGAGCGCTTCCCCGACTCTTCTCTAAAACGCGTAGGGTGGGGCGGTTGGAACGATGGGGATTGAAAATCAAATCTGAGTGTCTCGATGGAAATCTTTGTCCAGTCAAGATTACTCTTAGCCTCCCCCTTCGCGACTCCATCGCTCTCTTCGTTCCGTCCATCACCCCTTTAATCATCAATCAGATATTCCCCTTGCGATGGGTTAGCGAACCGTGTTGATCACGACTGAAGCGCACTTTGGTGCCGTTCTACGGTGATTAGACGATTAGGAGCGTCCTTTGCTGGAAGGCATATTACGATCGTCGAGTATAGAATTAGCCGCGGCCATTGTGCGCGAAATGTTATTGACGCTCTTGCGTGCCCGCGTTAAACTCTTTCTATCGTCATGGCATGGCGCAACGATGCTACGCGTAATAGACTTAAAAATAGTTTCTAACGTGGCCGCCGAGGGAAGTACACACGCCGATATATCAACGAGCCTCACAGTTATGACGTACGACGCGCGTTGTTAGAAACAGATTTATAATTAGTTTCCTGTTGTTGCGACACCGCGTAAAGCGTACGTACGCGCTCGTTAGATTGTAGAGCCAGCTTTGACGATTTAGCTTTCGATATGCTTGTTTGAGCATTGACACGATATTTCTGGATATAGATTATATTATATGCGTTGTTCATTGTACATGCTGCATTATTTGTGTTCCGCATGTTGTACGAATTAGTATACGAAACATTCATTCGTAAAATTCGTAGAATAATACAGTCACTGGCTATCACGTAGTCATTTGCCATTCTGAGCTTGTAAATATTTTATTGCGTTAATTCCTATTAATATGTTCTGCATATGCTAATTTTTGTTTCACCAAACTCGCTACATTTCTTTAAACAAATATAATACATTTATCAGCATTAAAAGTAATTTAAATGCATTTATCAGTATTAAAATAATTGAAATTGTAATCAATATTTGTATATTTAGCTTATATTAAACGTAAAAGTGTTTTGATAATCTTCAAGTAATGCTTAGAGAAATATAAATGATTATATATCTTAATTTAAACAAATCAGTTCTGTTCGAAAAATGTTAGCTTAATCATGACACAATTAATACATATCGTGTATAATATTAATTGATCTTTTATAACAAATGTTCTTCTTTTTCCTAAAAATAATAATAATAAAATTGTTGAGCTTTCATCGATTTTATGCCACAATAAGAATCCACAAAGACTTGCTTCAATCAAACGATGTCTCATCTCACACGAGGAGATTAGTTTTTGGGTTCTCGTCTTACGTTCTATACATGATTAAGATGCGAACATACGTGCGTGGTACGCACACGCGTGCATTCGAAAAAGGGGCGTCGAATCGATGGGTGGTACAATAGGCACGTGGCAGAATCTAATCATCACAGAAGCCTCAGGGTGAGTTTCTATGTTTTTTTTTTAAGTTTCCTATTCAGCGTGTTAACTCTCTGGAAATTTATTAATTCGGATCAGCGTCAGATCAATACATTGTGTGGCGATTGTCTTTCTTTCACATGCACGAAGCATCTAATAAAAAGCAGACGAGTAGTAATCACGGTTCAAGTAAACACATTTCGCTCCAGAGAACAGAAGATACGGAATTATAGATTTTAACTGGCATTCTCTCTTCTTTCTTAAATTAACCCGGTTTCAATAAACCACGATACGGAATGCTAATTAGTAAAATAAAAGCAATGTCCTCATTGGAATGAAAATTCTATCCTGAGTTAGAGACGACTCGATAGAAATAAATCTGTCAATACGCCTGTAAAATTAAGAACGAATATAACTCTCTTACAATTAAATATATATTACCCGGATGTCGCATGCTAAATGTATCTTTGTTGCACATTGTCGCCTATCGAGAAAGTCATATATCTAAAGTTAGTATTTGATAATTAACTTCACATTCGATTAAGCGTCTATCATACACGAGAGACTCGGTTGTATCTGAAAGCGAGCTACGAACATGTGGCCTCCGCCTCAGGAGACGCCCCTTTCCTATAATCATCAAAGCGGCAATGGAATATTTCGATCGTGACAGAAATGGGATAGATAAATAATGAACGAAGTCTTCAAAAGAATCATACACAAGAATTTACATTTCAATATATTATATGTAATTAAATTTTGCCATAGTAATTTGTGATACACTTTTAATACAGTCTAAATTTCAAGGCAGCAACATGTAAAGAGTAATGTATTTCGTAATAACGACTGAGTCTCTTCGGTTTGCAGAAGCGAATCACGGCAAAGTTATACAGGATTTCTGCGGTTATCAGTGTTAAGTATCCTGGTGCGGGACCTGGATTTCCTTGTAGGAAGGACGAAGCAACAAGTGGCTTCTTAGCTCGGACAATCTTAGCTCGATGTTCAACAAGTGTTTCCAAGTAAGCACACATCTTGAGTGTGTCCCTTGAGTACAAATCTGCATTGTGAAACAATTTTTCTCTTAATCATCACTGTTACGTTATACAATAACAGTGCTATAAATTCCGCAAACATATTTTACAAATTTAAAACTTTAATTCGATTTATGAAAACGGCGTTAAAATATAAGACGTAAATTAAATAAACAAATTTTAGTATGAAAAATTTTGTAAAAGTATTACCTGTCTTTCAAGCAGATTTCTAATTATATATATAGCCAATTTGAATATAAATTTAAACGGATGTTTAATAATAAATTACATAGAATATTTACAAGACCAAATATTACTGTATTTTCGATATATAATTTGAATATTTGATCAATTTTAATTTTATCGAATTATATAAAGAAGGCAACTTTTTCAAACACGCGAAACACGCGCGGTCTCATAAATTAACTTATAAAGATAGAATTCAAACGACAGAAAAAGCATACTCGTATTTCTTTATGGAGTACGATTTATTGTTTTCCAAGTTGTCGAGATATAACGAAATAATATACGATATAAAGTACG